AAAAGTCACATCTGAGAAATAAAGAACATCGAAGAGTTCATAATGGAACCTGAAACGGATCTGACGACAAAAGAACGTCAAAAACTCTTGAATGAAGAGCACCAAGAAACTCGGCGAGATATGTTTTCTTCTGAAAAAGAGGATTAATGCCGATATTTGCTATTAAAGATCTTTTGAAGAAGTAAGAAGATGTCAGAACAACGGTCTTAGAATAGCATCCAAACCAGGTTGAGGCTTGGTGATTTCTACAATTGCAATCCTATTAATTACTTACGAAAAATCCTGAAGAAGAGAGAAAAGCAATCGACATTAGACAGATTCTTTAACCCTTTCAAACGGAAAAAACATGACTAATAAAAACGCAAGACCGTGCATGTATGTATTTTTATTATTACGTATAAATAAACGTAGTAAGAAAGTATATATATTTTTTTATTTTTGGCGGTCTCCAGAACGAATTAATTAAATTTCCATTAAAACCTATTGTAAATCGATAATCGGTTAACGAACAATTCGGATAGCGAACAAAGACTTGGAACGAATTATGTTCGTTAACCGATCACCCACTGTATCGTACAGTATATTCGTACAATTAAAGAATGTTTTGTACCAGGTATGTATATCAACCACACATTTTATTTCACCAAGTAAGTTTTTATAATTTTATTTTTAATTTTAGCCCTTATATTGTGGCTAGCGATTCAGAATGTAATTGCGATATTGAAAATTTATTTTAAAAAAGTTTTGGCTCAAGTTCGTATAATGAAAAAGAAAACATTATTAAAAGAGAAAGGCCAATGCCTAAGTTAAATATAAACGATTCAATAAAAAAATTTGTTCGACATTTTCGCGATAAAATGGCTCCGTATATGCATAAAGATGCAAAAATTGTTTTGTTGGCCCTGCCTATTTTCAAATGAAATTAGTGTGTGGAATAAGAATGGCTTTGACAATTTAGCTGGCAAAAGACACGAAAAATCGTCGATTCTTTCGTATTTGAAGCAATTTGGAAATCGAAGCGGAATAGAATTTAACGTTAGTTAATAATATAAAATAAATATTGAACATTATAACGAAATAGTTACGGTTAATAGTTATATCTAAATAAATAGATATTATATGTTTTTATCAAAGCAAGAATTGGCATTTAGAGGGCATATGGAATATATTGGATCTAATAACAGAGGTAAATATATTAAACTTGTTTATTTATTAAGAACGTCAGATAAATAATCTATTAAAAATACATTTAAAGAAAGAATTAACTGATTGCCCCTGGAAGTCGGCTTCTTATAGAAACACAGCTTCCCTATTATCAAATGTCATGGCACGCCACTGCTATTCAGATGTTTTAGTAAAATTCTAATTCACTACTTCAAATAACTGTCTGTAGGATTAATGATTTTGGAATACCGGGTGCTACTGTCACTATTTTGACGGCCGGATGGCCGAGCAGTCAAGGTGGCAACCTACAGCTATGGTGAACCCGGGTTCGATCCGGACGGGTTGACAAATCCCCAGAAATTTATCAGGGGTGGTCGTCCGGGTATGTCGGGCACCCCACCTCACCACCCGGCCGTCCCATTGTGGGCCTGGCCGAACACATAATGAGCTTACTAATGGAGCCCCTCTCAATGCACACAGAGCGGAAAGAGTTTAAATAAACAAAAATGTCTAGAAGATTATTTTAAATAAAATTTGTGTCTAGAAACATTTTTAGTCAGCGTTATTTCTGAATTTTTCTGAAGATACAATAAATTGTTTTTGTTATAGAGATTTAATTCAGTCTTAAATTATAAACTCTATTTGCCTTTTTTTTTTAAATTCTTTCCGCCCCGTGGGCACTAAGAGGATCTCTTTTAGCAAGCCCATTATGGATTCAGCCAGGCTCACGATGGAGCTGCCGGGTGGTGAGGGACGGGGCCCGATATATTCGGACGGACCACCCCCGAAAAATTCCTGGGGATTTTTCGACCCGTCCGAATTCGAACTCGGGTCCCTCAGAGCGGTAGGCTGCCACCTTAACCGCTCTGCCATCTGGCATCAAATTTAATCCAGTCAAATGGCTTTCACTAATATACGACTCTTATAGCATAATATATTAATTTCATATTTATAAATTAAAACAGAATAAAATAAAAATTTAAAATTGAAATTGAAAAATAAAAAAAAATTATTGAATTTATTTTGAAATATTTAAAATTTCTTTCAAATTCTAATAACTTCTGAAATATTAATCACGCAATTTCATCACGAAAATAAATTATTAATTTAAAAATAATAATAATAATAATAATTCCTTAATCTATATGCCAGATAAATGGAAACGAGGCGGAAAGCAACGGGATCGAGAATGCACGAGTTTATCGGCGATCGATCGGGAAGGCAGTGGCTCGGTCAGTGTTTATTTCTCCAAATTTTGTTGAATTTCGCTCCCGATTATGGATTTATAAAGAGAACGTCGCATTCGGTAAACTGAACGCAATCTTTCCTCCTATTTGAGAATGAACACGAAAAATGTTAAACGTGGCATCAATATTTGAGTGTCTTCAGATAAGAATTTGTCAATTTCATATGTTTTAGATAAATAAAAACAAATGTCTGGAAAACAGAGACTGTGGAAACATTGCGACCATTGCTCACAAAATATTACTTTTAAAACAGCCAAAGAGTTTATCCAGCATCTGAGGGACGACCATTGCAGTAAGGAAGGTGGATCTTATGTTTGTCGATACGGAAATAATAATGTCTGCTGTTCTTTGCCTATTGAAGGTGTCAGTGATCAAGACTACGAAGCTCACGTTTTAAAGCATCATGTTGCACTCAATCCAGATGGTTAGTTCGTCCTGTAATTTCATTTCAAATATTTAACTTCTTATTTGTTTAATTTTACATTGAAACAAATATTTAAAGTCTAAACAAATGTTTGTTGCATCTTCTGTAGAAGTAATGGGATTTGTATGTTTTAATAACAATTTTTTATACCTCTAAGCTGGTTTATTAACATTTAAAACAATATTTTATTAGCTTGTGTTTGTCGCAACAAAGTTTTATCAATTATGAAAAGTTTTTAAACCCTACTTTTTAAATACAGATGGCTAATTTGAAATCGAGCATTCGTAGTTATTTATCTGCATCTTAATGTATTTGTAGGTCCGAATCATAATGTTATTACGATTCACGAAATACGAACTGTTTACCTTTTTTTTTTTTTCAAATTAGAAAGCTTAAAGATTTTAAATTTTCAATAATGTTTTTAGTTTGAGATAATATGAGATTATTATTATTTTTTAAATTTATTACGTTAATTTTTATGGTAATTTTTTTTATAATAGTCAAGTTTATATACTTCTTAAATTATATCTATGATAAACGGTAAATAATGAGAGTTTTTCCAAAGTCGTTGCTTTCCCCAAAAGCAGTCTTAATTAAAGACTAGGCTATGTAAGTAATGAATGGTGACAAATCTCATCAATTGGTCATTGAACTTAGCGTGTCTTGGTGGTGATGATGAACTCGACGAATAGTTTTCCCAAAGAATTCGTCAATGACATCGCTACTTAGTAATGATAAACAGCTTTTAAATTCTGGTTACCAAACAGATTATTTAATCGGAAATGTTTTCGATTGTGTCTTCGAAAGGATTACTATAATGATGTCAAGTTTTGTTGACAAGTTTTGTCACATTACATCTTAATCAATTAGGTGTCGATGAGTTTCCGTCAATGACTAGAGGAAAATTTTNCATGATTGCCCTTGACGACTATAGTCGTCGCTCACTGCAAGTGGTTAATCAGACAATGTCAAGGTAATAAATTCAATTCTGCCAACTTTGCAGAAAAATGTCTACAGTTTATTAAAATATGATATAAGCTTAAGTCATTTTGATGGGAAAATAAATAAGTACTTTGTATTTTTTAGTAATTCTCTATATTCCATTTAAAAGGTATATAAAAATATTGATATAAATAAAATCAAAACATTTAAATAATCCAGCAAATGGTTTTTTAATATCTTAAAAACACTTTCGAACACTTTAAGCAATCATCCTCAGTTATCATTTTGAATCGAACGAAGAATTTGAAATATTGATTAACTAGTTCTTTTAATTTCAGAGTATATCAATATACTGTACTTGCTTCAATATACAAGATACTTATTATTATTGCTGAGTATTTACTCTTTTATATTGATATTTTTAAATTGTATAAAATATAAATAATGATATATAAACATCTCAAAACCCAATAATTATTTTAAAGCCAAACAATTGCAGGATTAAATCAGGCTAAACCTATGCTATTTGATACTAGTGCCATATTATTCAGTATGTAACTATTAATAGCAGTGGTAATATAGCTTGATTTAATGTGGCAATCATTTAGATTTAATTTATATTAAAATAAATAATTAAATAAATAAAATTAATGAAACTTACTACAAAAAATTTATGAAACTTTCTATAGTAATGATTATTAATGATACATTCTATAACTAAATTTTACACTTATTATGAATTTATGTATAAAATAAAGTCAATAAAATTCTTACATGGTTATTTATTGTGGAAATTTTAAACTCTTGTTACCAAATGACATTTATTTGGAGAAATTCTACTAAGAGTAAGAATTTTGTAAGACAATTAAACTATACTTCCAAATCATATTCAAAATTTGATAAATACAAAAATACAATACCTCTACATTAGATTAATTAAAATAAAAAAATTATAAATATATTATTATTAATTGAATAAATTCAAAAAAATAATTTTATATTAGAATTCTGTTGAGTAACAACTTCATAGAGCACAGAATGAAAGATCAGTTTTGGAATACAGATGTACAGGATATGCAATTTGTAACATCCTATGAGAAAATCACTTTATATAACAGTTAATGTATTTTAACAAGAAAGTAATTCTTTGATCCATAAATAGATGGAGATGTGCAGATTAAAATTTTTTTAATATAAAACTTATCTGCAAAATAGTTATAAAAGTTAGCTCTTCAAGAAGAGGCCATAACGAACATGTAATAACAACTATTTTGTATCTAATTATTAACTTAGCCTTATTTTAGCTTAATAATCTGACAATCATCTGGCTTTAATCAAAAATTGGGTTTATGGAGTTGTTGTTTGTATATATAATAATAATAACCATTTGAAATTTTAAATATGATTATTACTTAATATTTAAGCATCCTTTAATAACAATTTTATTTATAGCATATTTAAAAAACAACCTTATATTATTTTTAATTATCTTTAAATTATATGATATAATTACACAATAAAATTTAATGCAAAAATAATTTGTGATTACTTTTAAGTTTGATTACAAACTTCTTTTATATATTTTTTTTCTATTTTGTCATTACATTTGAAATTAAATTTTTTACCATAGTGTATCATCATTTTTTGTATTTAATTACATAGAATTTATATAAATGTTAATATGAGGTATCATGTGTTTTTCTGATGATTTCAGTTACTACAGATGCAACGTAACCATATATATTTTCTTGCAATTTTATAATATAAATTGATTTAAAATTTATTTTGTTTTAGATTCTATTGAATGACTAAGGTCCTTACTCAAGTGTTAAATACAAATTATGCAAGAAATTATATTTCACATTAGAAAGACTTTTACAGGAATTGATTACATAATTAGCAAAAGATTATTATGTAATCATTTAATTATAAAGCTATAGCTTATTTTTAATTTATGTATTTATTTTGTAATTTAATTTTTAAGAAAACAATTCATATCTATTTATAATATAAGATTTTAATTAATTATTTTATCACTTAGTTGAGTGTAATGCCATCAATTTTTTAAGCAATAAATTATATTGATATTATAATTAATATGTTTGTTATAGAAAATTCTCTAAACAGTAATTAAATATTTAATTCTATTTCTAAATTTTAATATGGTTTTATGAATAATTTAATTACCTTTCTCACTATTAGTTTATTTTGAATTTATATAGCAATTCATTTAACGTAATAAATATTGATTATCCAATAAAATCTCATTTGACATTAAAATTTATAAAATTATCTCTAATTATTAAATCAGTCAGTTCCTTTCAATAAAATTTTTCTGTTTTGTGATTAAAGAAATCAAAAAAATTTTCTTATAAAAATTATATTATAAAGGAAAAACAGAAATTTAAAATTTCATGAGCATAATACCAGTAAGATTTGCTAAATGCAATTTGTAAAGGTCAAAATTTAATAATGATGATATAAAAATGCTAAAATATTCAAGAGGCAAAATATTTAATCAAGTTTAAATATTTTTTGAGACATTTTGTCTCAAAAAACATTTTGTTTTGATATAAAATTATATTTTCCTACTAAGTAGAAGAATATAATTTCATTATATATATAGCATTATTGTGTCACTCATTATATTATAGCACATATATCAAGTAAAATCAAATATTTACAAATTATTTCATTAGTGTTATGTCTTTTTTAATTTAATCATAATAAAATTTTCTTGTATTTAACAATAAACTGTCTCTAATGCATAAATAATAATTCAGATAAATATATATATAATTAGAAATTGTTTTTCGTTGATTTTTATAGTTGTTTGTATATATAATAATAA